CTAGTGGTGCACAGTTGGGTTCGGATTAATTAGCACAGATTGCAGCACCTCAGACATCAATGCATTAACTATGACTTAGTTTTGAGTTAGCAGGATTTCTGACCTGGAGGGAAGGCAGTTCAGGGAAAAGGGGGAAAATTAGCGATTTCCTTGAATGATAATATCTTGGGAAAATACAATCATTAGGAAAGATTTCTGTCCTGAGAAATTTTTTTTCCACAGGGGAATTTTATGCTTAGTCAATGTAGGAACAAGAGATAAAGCGTCTAATGAGCAGACAGAGGGAGCTTTAATCTCATCTAGTTTCACCCTTTAGACCTATGGGCTCAGGGGGATTTTTTGTTTCTTTCTTTTCGTTTGTTGGGACTCCTAATCTTTCTGTTGTCTTATGTTATATCCTTCCTGCTGCCTTGCTCTGAGTGAAGACCTTCAATCTCGACCATCACCCATCCACAGAGCACCTTAGACTTCCACGTGAAAGCCTCCCTCCAAGAATTTCCATCCAGGTGAGCTCAAGAACCAAATTGAACTTCCTAGAGACTCAGAGAGACTTCTTTCCAGAAACCAAGAACATTATTGACCTGAGTGCTCATTCTAATTGACCTAGAAGCAGGAAAGAAGTGTGCTGGCTACTTGTTTAATGGGCTGGAGTCATAGGACAGTGGTAGGGCATTTGCCTTGCGCACAGGCGACCCAGCTGAGCCGTGTTCAATTCCTCCACCCCTCTTGGAGAGCCTGGCAAGCTACTGAGAGTATCTCGCCCGCACAGCAAAGCCTGGCAAGCTATCTGTGACGTATTCAATATGCCAAACACAGTAACAACAAGTCCCACGATGGAGGCGTTACTGGGCCTGCTCGAGCAAATCAATGAACAACGGGAGGACAGTGACAGTGACTTGTTTAATGAACTGTGGAAATAGCATTCATAATCACTTAATCACTTAATCACTTAACTTCCCGTTAGTCGTCGATTTGCTCGAGCGGGCGCCAGTAACGTCTCCATTTGTCCCTGTCGCGTGCTAGTGTAGCCCAATGGCATCTGTTCGCTCCGGGAACATGAAGAGCCTCAAACCGATCGTTCATGATCTTGACGAAGAAGTCTGACCATCTGGTAGGTGGGCGGCCACTTGGTCTTTTGACATCCCGTGGAATCCAGTCAGTAACAGCTCTAGTCCAGCAGTCGTCTTTAAATCTCATTACGTGACCAGCCCATCTGATTTTCGACACCTTGGCAGATGAGACAGCGTCCCTGATTCTTGATCGTCGATGGATGTCAGAACTCCAGATTCTTTCTCTCATTTGAGTGAAACGTGATATTCCAAGCATAGCTCTTTCTATTCTTCTTTGGGAGACCTGAATGGCGTTCTCATCTTGTTTTCGTAGGGCCCAGGTCTCTGAGGCATATGTTAATGCAGGAAGAACAGTGGAATCAAAGAGATGTGCCCGGAGCCAGAGGTTCTTCGTCCTCTTAGCTATTTCTTCGATGTTCTTGAAGGCGTTCCAAGCCACTCTCTTCCTCCTGCGCAGCTCGGGTGCCAGGTCATTTGTCATGTTGACTTCTCGACCTAGGTGCACATAGCTGTTGCATTCGGAGATGGTCGTTCCGTTGAGAGCGAATGGGGCGTCAGGAACGAGGCTGTTTCTCATAAACATTGTCTTTGTGAGATTCAGCTGTAGTCCTACCTTTCCACACTCACGGTCAAAGTCGGCCAGCATTTGTGCCACTTGGCTGATGTTTGGTGCTATTAAAACAATGTCATCAGCAAAGCGGAGGTGGTGTAGTTGCCGACCATCTATCTTCACTCCCATTCCTTCCCATTCCAGTCGTCTCATGATGTTCTCGAGGGTGGCACTGAAGAGTTTCGGTGAAATGATATCACCCTGCCGCACCCCTCTCTTGATATCAATGATCACTTCTTTGTAGAATGGTGAGATCCTGGTAGTGAATACGCAATACAGCTCACAGAGGATCCTGATTTATTGGGCTTGAATGCCCAATTCATAATAATAATAATAATTATTATAATAACCCCAAATTCCATATAATTTCCTAAATAAAACAGGTATGACTTATTTCACAGTGAGTTCAGCACAAGTGAACTCAAGCAAGAAATGATTAGTTTAATAGAATGAGGGCAACAAATGTGCACCCAGGAAAGGAATAAAATAAATAGGATGTTACCATGACTTCCATGATATACTTGATATACTTCCATGATTAAAGGTGCTTGCCAATTGTTTATCACTCTATGTCCACAAATATGTAAATATCCCATACATTTCTCTTAATGTATTTGTTATCTGTACTTTATGTACCTATTAATGTAAATGATGGCTCATTTGTGTGAATCCAGGAGACCAGAGTGGTGCTGCAGAATTTGTGATCAATATTCTCTTGTTCTGGACTAGCTCACAACTGGGACAGTTCATAAAACTGGGACAGTTCAGTAAATCCCATTCTGTGAGGCTGACCCTGCTAAACAAAGGTCAGAGATGCTAATGCAATTGGTTTTGTTGTGGTGAATCTCCACAATAAATGCCTGTGTTTGTGTCACGGACTCCTCAAGTTTACTCACACTTCAGATGCACTCTAATCTTTTGTATTGTGAAATTGTAAGTATCAGTGCTTAAACGTGGTTGTGATTGTGATGTTCAAGGTGTGGCTCTAAGTGGGGTTATTTTCACAACCATAGTGCATGTGCAGTGTCCAGAGAATTTCTGGTGTCACAGTGGACAAAGATGGGTATTGACCAAGGATGCTCTAAACATATTATGCACATGCCTGACCCCACTGCAGAGAATTACCTCAACTAGAATGTCAGTAGTGCTAAATTAGAAAACTACAGCTTACGGAAAAAAAATTTGTATATAGTTCTTTAATTTTTAGATTTTCATTTTGTTTTTTTTGGGGGGGAGGCATAGGATAATACTGGTTTGTCTTTTCTCCTTCACCTTTCTCCTCTGTTGCCAGAAGCTTAGGTTTACTGAGTTACATCCATCACAGTGCTCTTAAGGTATTTCCGTTCTTCTGTGTTTATCTTTAACCTCTCTGTGCTCTGCTTCCCCTATCTGTTAATCACCTATATCCCCAAATCAGACCCTGTAAGGTCAGATCCTTCTAAGGACTCTGTATTTTGTATTTTTAAGTGAAATATTGCTTTTCTCTTTCCCTTATGTCCTTTACATAGTTTATTTTAGAGCAATGTCCCTTTATATAGACACAGGAAGACAGTTAATGCTATGCTTTTATAACTTGGGAGTTAACTGACTCCAAATTTTATTTATTTCTGGGCATCTGTCATATTTACTAGACTTAAGCCTCAATTGCTCTAGCATCCCAAAAGCAGGGTCTCAGCGAAGGAAGGGATTTAGATGGACTCGTTGCAAGCAGTGGCATCGAAACTGGCATCAAAACGGGATCGGCCAAGTGCCATCAAACTCATAATAAGTTAAGAGCATGATCACGGACAAATTCTAGCATGATCCAAAGAGAAATGACTGGACAATGACCCAACTGGGGTAAGGAAGGACTAATCTGGCCTGAGACTGTAGTCTGGGATATATAGCGAGATTGCCCAGGAGAATTACCCTGTAAATTAACATATCTTTTACCGTGTCCATAGAAAATGACTAGAAAGATTATTAAGAAGTAAATTTAAGATGACTATTTAAATGTATGTGGACTAAGGAAAAGAGAAATAAGGCCTGGATGAAATTCCACCCTTTAGAGGTTCTCTTAGCAGGATGAGATCTTTGTTTTAGAAGAAGCTTCCCTTGAAGGAAGGGAAGGGCTTTACATATGTTGATTGTGCTATCTCTCCTGTTTAATGTATTATTACCCCAAACTCCAGGGGACTGGGTGGATGAGGAGGGCTGTGAGACTGGGTGTGGGGAGATAGTATAAGGGACAGTAGGAGAGGAGAACGAGGGGCAGGGGGAAACTAGAATGGGGAACACGGTGAGACTGCAACAAGCGCACGGGGAGAATGAAATAAACTGTGGGACCAGGATTGGAATAAACAGCAACTTATCACCAACCAGCCTGCCCCTCCCCCTCCCCCACCCCCGTTTCCTCCTTTCATTCATCACAGTTGGCTATGTGGGGTGGGGAAGCGGTTCCCAACCACCAAACGCAGAGAGTACACCTACATATTTTGTGAACATGGGGTGGGGGGGACACCTAATGGTGCTCAGGTCTTACTCATGGCTCTCTACTCAGCATCACTCCTAGTAGGACTTGGGGGACAATCCAACTTTCTGGCAAAAATATAAAATACTACAATGAGCTAAAAACATAAAGATCTGGTATAGAGAGTTAGTATAGCAGGGGAGAGCTAGTATAGCAGGTGAGGAGTTTGGGTTTGACATGACTAAACCAAGTAGGACCCATGGCACCCCAGATTGTTCCCCAAGTCATGCGAGGAGTGACACCTGAGCAGAGAACCATGAGTAAATACAGGGACTTAAAGTCATCCAGTGAAGGTACCATTGGGAAACTCTCAATTCAAGGGTCACATTTGCAGTAAGATTAATACAAAACTATTCCAGCTGCCTTCTCCCCCAGCTCATGAGACAGCTGGAATAGAGAAGGGATCACTTACAACAGTGATAGTTGGAGGAATCTTTCAGGATAGGAGCTGTGTGCTGAAAGTAGATAAGGACAAAACGTCATAATCTCTCACTATCTGTATTGCAAATGATAATACCCAAAAGTAGACAGAGAGAGTATAGGAGTAATTGTATCCACGGAGACAACGGGGGTCGGGGGTTGGAAAGGGCACGCATTCTGGGGAAGTTGGCAGTGGAGAATGTGCACTGGTAAAGGGCTAGGTGTTTGATCATTATACGACTGACACTCAAACATGAGAGCTTTGTGACTGTATCTCATGGTGATTCATTAAAAAAAAAATTAATAAAAACAAGAAAAACATGGGGTGGATGAAGTCCCTCTGCCCTGAAGTATCAAAATAATTTCTCATCTTTTCTTCTTCTTCAATCACTTTGAAGCATTTCATCATTTATTACTTCAGCCTCTCGAGAAATCACCCTCACAGAATTTTGACTTATCATTCCTTTTAATAGGCGAACATTCTCTAGAGAACTCTTTGCCTCCTCCTCTCTTTCTAAGATCACTGTTTCAATGTGTCCTTGTGGACAGGAATGATAGTCCATTCGCAACAGCATTTCCCTTGCCAGCCTGGGTTTGATCCGTGGCATCCTAAAGGGTCCTCTGAACATCGCCAGGAATGATCCCTGATTACAGACCAAGGTGTAAGCTCTGAGTAAAATCATCCACGGCCTCCAAACTGAAATAAATAAATGAGTCCTTGATTTTGGTATTGCCACAAATGGTATGTTTTTAAATCATACTCCATTTTTTCTCCATTATACCCACTTTCTATTATTCATAAAAATGCTACCAACTGATAAAAGACTAAATTTTACTATGTGCTTTGTGTACTTTCTTTGCCAGTAAATTGTGGGTACTTTTCTTCTAGCATTTTATAATAATCACTGAGAATTTGCTGAAAATATGCTCAGCACTTAATTCATGCTATTAAATACACAAAGAATATTCTGTAAAATTGTAGGCTGCATGGTCACATAAAGTTATAGTACCAAAAGGTCCATATCAGAGATGATATGTGAGAGTCAGAGAAGAATTAGATACAAATACAAAATATTAACTAATTTTAAGAGTGCAAGTGTAATATTGTTGCATTTATATATGTGAGTAATTCAGATGTATGTGAAATTTGTTTTGTGATTTCTTCTTCCTTAGACATAGCCTATATGAAGCCTGAAAATATTTCACACATTTCAGAATTTATTCTTTTGGGATTTTCAGAGGAACCAGAAGTGCAATCCCTTGTGTTTGTACTTTTCCTCTCCATTTACTTGATCACCGTGCTGGGGAACCTGCTCATCATCCTGGCCGTGGGCTCAGACCCCCGCCTCCACACGCCCATGTACTTCTTCCTGGCCAACCTGTCCTTTGTGGACATCTGCGTCATCTCCAACACCATCCCAAAATTGCTGGTGAGCATCCAGACACAGAACAAAAGCATAACATATGAATATTGCTTTACGCAGATGGTTTTTTTTCTTACTGCTTTCTGGTTTGGACGTATTTTTTCTGACAGCGATGGCCTATGACCGCTTTGTGGCCATCTGCCACCCCCTGCACTACACGGTCATCATGAATCCCAGGGTCTGTGGACTGTTGCTTCTGGGGTCCTGGGCCATGAGCATCCTAGATTGTTTGTTACATAGTTTGATGACCTTGACACTGTCCTTCTGTACAGACATGTTTATCCCCAACTTTTTCAGTGAACTCAAGCAGATGGTACAACTGTCATGTTCTGACACTTTCGTTAATGATGTGGTGATGTATGCGGCAGCTCTTCTTGTGGGGGGTAGTACCCTCAGTGGGATCCTGTATTCTTACTCTAAGATAGTTTCCTCGATTTATAGAATCACGTCAGTTCAGGGGAAGTATAAAGCATTTTCCACCTGTGCATCTCACGTCTCCGTGGTCTCCCTGTTTTATTGTACTGTGATAGGTGCATACCTTAGCTCTGCTGCCACCCAGAGCTCACTGTCGAGTTCAATAACTTCATCCATGTACACTGTGGTCACACCCATGCTGAATCCCTTCATCTCTAGTCTTCGGAATAATGACATAAAGAGGGTTCTGAGGGCATTTTTTGTGAAGGGAACCATCAAAGGACCTTTGTAGTAGGACCAAGTGAGTGCATGAAATTGCTTCATAAAAATATTAAAGTAGAAATTCATATCATGCTGTATAGTTTGAATATGCCAAATACGTCATATGTGTAGAAGTTGAAGGTGTTCATTCAGTCTGTTGTCTGAAATTTCCATTTCTGTAATCTCAACTTTATTTACTTCATCTAACTCTACTAGTTTTCAGCTCTTTCTGCTATCCAACCATTTCCCCCTTTATTCCACCTACATTTTTAATATAATTTTAAAAACATAGTTGTTAAAGCGGGCTGGAGCAATAGCACAGCGGGTAGGGCGTTTGCCTTGCACACTGCTGACCCAGGTTCGATTCCTCCATCCTCTCAGAGAGCCCGGCAAGCTACCGAGAGTATCCCGCCTGCATGGCAGAGCCTGGCAAGCTCCCCGTGGCGTATTCGATATGCCAAAAACAGTAACAACAAGTCTCACAATGAGAACGTACTGGTGCCTGCTCGAGCAAATCGATGAACAATGTAAGGACAGTGCTACAGGGCAGTTGTTAAAGCATTTGGATACTTTGTTCAGTTCATGAGAAAACATATTTTTATTATTAAGTTTTGAATGCCACATATCATATCAACGAAATATTTTTTGTTTAGGTGAAAGTCACAATGATTGCTATACTGGGGTCTAGTTATACATTGTATAATCTAAGAAAATATGAGACAATTATGACAATGACTCATGAATCAGTCTCTCCCTTCATTGTCCTTCCCAGTAAAGTGGACTTTCCTCAGATGATGGTGTTTTGTAAGTGGCTTCATTCTGGTTTTATTCTGGTAATTATTATTTTATCCTAACTCATTGTCCACAGTTTCTATCTTAATCCCTTGCAAAATGTGCCTGAAGTTTTTGTGTCCAGGAGGTGTCTTCATTGTAAATAATTCTGATATCTGCACAAATAAAAATCTTTTACCTGCCAAATGATGAAGAAAAATAAAAACCCTAAATGGGGAAACAATTGCAATATATTTTTTGTTTGTGTAGCACATCTTTTCAGCGGGGTCAGGTCAATTGGCATCCATGTAGTCGTGGTTGATACATACAGGTTAGGAGTGCCATATAGTTTAAAACTGAGTTGACATAATGCCCATAAGTAGAGAGAGAGTAAGAAGGAAATTGTCTGCCCTAGAGGTAGGGGAAGGGGTAGGAGGGAGAGGGGCATTGGGGAAATTGGTGGTGGAAAATGTCCACTGTGGAGTGATGTGTGTTTGATCATTATATGACTTAAACTCAAACATGAAAGCTTTGTAACTGTAACTCATGGTGGCGCAATAAAAAAAAATTCGTTTTTCCCCTTTGAGATTTTGTTTTATTTATTTATTTATTTATTTATTTAAAATTTTAATGAAACACCATGAGATAGAAAGAATTACAGATTTACACACTTTTGTGATTAGGTTTCAGTCATACAATGATCGAATACCCATCCCTCCACCAGTGCCCATTCTCCACCACCAATGTTCCCAGAACCCCTCCCGCCATCCCCACTCCAACCCTTCCTGCCTTTGTGGCAGGTACATTTTTTAAAACTGAGTTGAGTTCTAGCTACAGAAAATGTTCAGCACAACTACACTGCATTCCTTCTTTCATTCAAGGGCAATTACAATCTCTACTACATTCAGTGTTTATCACTCAAGTTTGTACATGAACATTTGATATTCTCATAGGTATAATTTCTTTAGGCCTAAGTATCTTTTTGTCTCTGGTCAGATCAGGACACAATAAAATCTATTCCTATTCAGTTCTATAGATCCAGGTCATTCAGATTCAAACAGAAACACTCATGGCTTTTCATCCACCTGGTTTCTCCGGGTTACCTTAAAAGAATTCTAATAAGGTACATCAATCCAGTTCTCTAAATAAATGTAAATTATACTGAGTGACTGTGAATGCTGACTACAAGTATAAGAACAAATGGTAAGAACTAGCTAATTATTATCATTTCTCCCGTTCTCTTCCCCGGAACTATTATTTCAATTAATAATTAAACGATTTCCTCTTGACAGCCATCCTAAGAACAAACCATCTTATATAATATCCTAATAATCAAATTAGTTTGCAGAGGGAAGAGTGTTCTGAGTTCTGCTTGCTCCTGATTATGTCTCTATTTACCTGATTATGTCTGCATAGAACTCATCATATTCCTCTATGATGTAGTGTTTTCATACATGTGATCTTTATACATGCATTTTCATGCATACTCATTATTTTCATGTAAATAATTTGAATTTTTTTATTGAATCACCGTGAGAACAATCACAAAGCATTTCAGTTTAAGTCTCTGTCAATCATACAATGATCAAACACCCATCCCTTCACCCGTGCACATTTTCCACCACCAAGAACCCCAGTATACCCCCCCACCCACTTCCCACCAGTGTGGTAGATTTCCATTTTACTCTCTCTCTCTCTACATTGATCACATTCAATATTATGACAAAAGACCCAACATTATTATTTGGAATTTAATTCAACCCCCCATCCCTAGAGGCCCCAGTTGCCTCTTTAATGCAGTCTCATATGTGGTTGTTCATTAGGCTCTAAAAGATGCAGGCCACCATGCCGGTGCCACAAGGAGAAACAGGCGGATGAACAGACACCCTTCTCCTCCCAGGGCGGCATAGCACCATAGTTAAATGCACTGTCCCGATGCATTTCAGTTGGGCATTATATTTTGCTCAGATTTTCCCACCAACATTCAAGCATATCTTTCAGGGACAAACCCTAGATCATTTACTTTCCATTGATAACTTTACATATTAGGAAATGTCACGTGGCTGCATAAGCAGCCACGCAGTTCAGAAATTAGTCCTGATACCCTCATATGGAGCCATGCTTATAGAAGCTCATGGTCACCAGGATTCCATCTGGAGAGGGCGGAGAGATGGCACCTACCCCATCTGGAACCTCCCAGTGATATCAGCTCTGTCTGGAGCCCGGAGAATTCTCCGGGAGTTGTGGAGCCCGTCAGCTGGTTTTAAAATATTTTTAAGCACTGTTATTTACAATGAGCCGGGTTCAATTCCTCCATCCCTTTGGAGAGCCCGGCAAGCTACTGAGAATATCTCACCCGCACGGCAAAGTCTGGCAAGCTCTCCATGACATATGTGATATGCCAAACACAGTAACAACAAGCTCATGATGAAGACGTTACTGGGCCTGCTCAAGCAAATTGATGAACAACAGGAGGACAGTGCTACAGTTATTTACAACACTGTCAATAATGGGGTGGAATCAGGCACATACTATTCCAGCACCACACCCACCACCAGAGTGTCAGTCTCTCTACACCTGTGCCAAGGTGTCACTTCTTGTCTCCAACCCTCCTCCCTCAGTCTCTCCTTTGGAAAATTCAGTTTTGTAGTCCGACTTTTAGAGTTTGATCTATAATTAAACATTTGTTATCC